TTTCATTTGAGTGTATTCTCCCTGAGGCATCCTTAATTTGTTTCTAAAATAATTTTTCCTATATCTTCAATTCCTTTAATGATTTTATACTCTTTGATTCTATTTTTCTTCTCATTTTCTTTTCTTGGTTTTTGAATTCCTGATTTTACGTTTTTAAAAAGTGTCCTCAAATGCTTGACTGAATATGTTTATCTCTAAAGTATGGTCAATTTTCATCTGCATGGTTTTTTTTTCTAGAATGGGGATAATTGGTATGTAATGAATCTGTTTCTCATTTTTTTTGTAATAACTATATGCATTTATTCATCTTCTCTTTTTATCTTTTTGTGATACTGGAATGTTTTACAAGATTCCTAGTTTAATAGGAAATTATCAAATACTTTGAGGTCCAGGTATTTTAGGATACTTTTTCCTTTTGTTTTGCAGGGTGGGAGGTGGGGAAAGGCATCATAAGACTGTAATTTTGTGTTCACTTTGTCTTGCAGAAACCTAAAATTTCCCAATGTGTTACTTTCTTCTTTAGCACTTAAAAACCTTTGTCTTAACCCCGAAGATACACACTTAGAAGACGACTTTAGCAAACCATTTCATTTTAAATGACTTCCCTGTAATCCGTGTTCTGATCTATGACACACACACACACACACACAATTTTACATTTTGTGTGGAGTTAGTCCTTCTGGCAGTGCAGGTTAACCTTAGTCCACTTGTTAGCTTCCATCTTGTGTGTTTTCTGCAAATCTGCTTGGTTGGCCTTTGCTCACCACAAAGCCTTGGATGGCTGAGGGTTGGGAAAAGACATAGAGCGGGAAAGATAACATGCTGAGAATTGGTGGGTTTTCTCCTTTTACTTACTATTACTTTCAAAATTTGTCATTCTCTGCTTCCAAGTTATGCCATGAGCATGGTATATGTGTACAATTCTTTCATTCTTCTTGTAGTTCTGCATTGTATTTGGAGGAAATGTTGGGAGACACTTTGTTAACTGGTTATCATTGTCTTCTCCCCAGAGGAGTGAGTTCTAAAACTTTTTAAAAAGGAACTAACAAATTCTAGAAAGCAATACAGGTTAAAAGTTAAATAATGTTGTCATGGGGAAGGTCTTTCTAATAATAAGCATGACCCTAACCAGAAAGTTCTAAGAGGAAAACACCTTTATAGATTAAAAAAAAAACCTGATGTAAAATTCATTTTAACTTCAGTGAGAAAATGATATATTTACAACACTGTATAAGCAAAAGGGCTCATACCTTAATAAAAAGCTCTTAATAAACAATTTTTTTTTAAATAAAAAGAAGAAGAATCCAGGTAGGAAAATGGACAAGACAGAATAACAGTAAGAAAAAAAAAATGCCCATAAATAGGTATATGAAAGTACGCACAAGTAAGCTGCAAGAGGGAGATTTCCTTATAATATGTCAGATTAAGAAGACTAACTTAACAGGTGATCAGGAAGATGTTCATTACCAGGCATTCCCAATCACTAGAGGAGTTACTCAAATTTGTACAAATATACAGTCAAACCATTTGAAAGAACTTATCAACATAAGAAATATTTACTTCTATCATATTTGCAATTCTACCTTTAAGGAATGCTAAATAATTTCATCTAAAAAAATACAGAATACCAAAGATTTATACTGGTACAAAATATTTAATACATTTTTATATATCAAAAGATATAATATTGGGGCACCAGGCTGGCTCAGTCAGTAGAGCATGCAACTTGATCTTGGGGTTGTGAGTTCAAGCCCCATGTTGGGCGTGGTGCATACTTATAAAAAAAGATGTTGTCATGGTGATAAAACAAAAAAAAAAAAAAAAATCAAGATTCATAGGACATTTTGATAAAATCCTTCAGAAATATCAGAAATAAAAATCTTAAAACTATTTTGTATTATCTTCTCCTATAACTTATAAAGCATTTTTTTTTTTTTTTTTATGCTGCTCATCAATGAAATGAGGTTTCGGAATTTAAAAATTACCAACCAACCATCAATCAATCAATAAATATTTGATGTGATTTTTTGGTAATTTTTAAGATATTATATACACACAATTTTTTTCTGAAACATCGTAATATAAATTGACGCCAAAAGATGTCAATATATATTTCCTAAGAGCAAAGATTTTGTATCACACAACCCAAGTATATTTCTCAAAATCAGCAAATTCAGTATTATCTAATCCACAAGTCCATATTCAATTTTCATCAATTGTGCCAAATGCATTTATAGCCACATTGCCCCTCTGTGTCCAAGATTTAATACAAGATCAAGCATTGTGTTTAGTAATGTGTCTTTTTTTGGTCTTTAATCTAGAATAATTCTTCAGTCTATCTCTGTGTTTTTTGACACTGGAATGTTTAGAGTATAGGCCAGTCAGTTGGTAGAATGTCTTCAATTTGTTTTGTCTGGTATTTTCTAATGACTACATTCAGGCATGCATTTCTGGCAGGAAATTCTCACAAATGTGATATTTTGTCCTTCTCAGTTCATCATATCAGGACTAGTATGTTATCAGCTTGTGCCCAGACTGATGGTGGTAGCAATGATATTCATTATAGGGGTATCCTCCATGTTACCCCATTAGAGATTTGGTAATTTTTCCCTTCATAAATGATTTGTGGAGAGATATGTTCAGATTATGTAAGTATTCTGGTTTCTCAAACATTAGCCCCCAAGTCTTAGCATTCATTAGTGATTTTCTAAAATCATTTTTTCTGTATTTATTAGTTCACATTACATTATCAGGAAGAACATCTCCCTCATTCATTCATCCATATCTGGAGAACTTATAAATTCTTATGTTATATACAGGGGTATGATTAACATGAATTTTTATGTAGATTCTCAAATTGTCCCAGATTTGGCAAACAGGAGTCCTTTTAATCTGGTTCCTCTGTCTTTTGCCAGGTTCCTATAATTCTCTGAGTATTTCCTTGCTTTTAGGATGGATGATTAAAATATTTTATACTTTGATATAGAGGTAAGTTATAAGGATTATACATTTGTAAAATCTCAACAACTTGTACACTTAAAATAGATGTATTTGTGCACATCACTCTAGCTAGCAGCACTGTGCACTGTCTCCAATGTTATGAGCAAGCAATTCTTAAACCACTCTATGTAAATAAATATAATGATAATAGAAATCAAGTTTCTCACTGGTAGAAAAAGGAGGTACAAAAAAGCGAAGAGGAAAGGCCAGAATAATCAAACACATATAGAAAGAAAGATATATGTACACATAAGTGTGTGGGTATATATACACTCACAGATATATTTTCTAACTCTGTTTATTGAGAGGCCCTATAAGCAAAGAGGTGCTTGGAGCAATGAAAACAACTGGCAGCCACATCATGGCTTTAAATACTGTCCTCCAGTAAAAGCAAGCACGTGTCCTTAGAGAAAAGGCTAACTTCAGATATGGGAAGAAAAAAGCTTTCCCTTTCACTTAAGGGAAAAATTAATTTAATAATATATGAGTGATTAATTTCTACGTTATTAGCTTAACATAGTGAACTAAATACTTAAAAATGGTTAAGATAGTAAATTTTATGTTGCGTATTTTACCACAATAGAACCAAACAACAACAACAAAAAAATGCACATGAGAACACTGCAGTAAAAAGCACAATTCTTTCCTGATAAAGTAAAAGAAATACAAAATAGATCAAATGACAAATCAGTGAGAAAACCAGTACTTCTTGAGCTAGTTTTCTTGCCATGTCCCTCAATACATTTATTTAAAAGGGAGAGTTCTGAGGCCTTACTAGATACACTATATATACCAACACTTAACATAATACATAGTCCAAGCCTTGAGCAAACTTCAATGGACTTAACATTCACTGAATACTTACTATGCAAGCAGCACTCTGCAATCCTAACAAAAACACAAACTAATTAAGACCTAATTTTTGTCTTTTAGGAGTTAAAATATGAAATTTAGGACAGTCAGTGCATGATAATGTAGGTGATCGAGTTTGTAGAAAACAGAAACTATTTGAAGATGTGCATGACAACAGCACCATGAAATGGTGAAATGGTTTAGTTTTGATGCCTGAAAATAAAATCCTTCATTAAGAATGCAATCTCGGGGCGCCTGGGTGGCTCAGTCGGTTAAGCGTCCGACTTCAGCTCAGGTCACGATCTCACGGTCTGTAAGTTCAAGCCCCGCATCAGGCTCTGGGCTGATGGCTCAGAGCCTGGAGCCTGCTTCCGATTCTGTGTCCCCCTCTCTCTCTGCCCCTCCCCCATTCATGTTCTGTCTCTCTCTGTCTCAAAAATAAATAAACGTTAAAAAAAAATTAAAAAAAAAGAAAAAGAATGCAATCTCACTTCTCAATAGTTTAAAATCAAATTAGATGACAGGATCATCTACATGAGATGCTAGGAGGACAATGAGTCAATCGAGGTCATCTCAGAACAGGTTAAAACAAAGCTGTGTTTTTGGTTCTTTTAATGCTTAGAAAACAAAATAAAGTTAGATTTTCTAACTTTACATCAACTACCTAGATTTCTTAGGAAAAAGGATTATTCCTTAAATACACTCTAAGTAAAAATATTAAGATCTAAACCACTTCTTACTTGGTTATAATTTTGTGTCTCTTTGTCTCTCTTTCCCTCAAGTCCAGCACAAAGAGTGATGGATGTTAAAAGATTATTAACTAAATTGAATAGGAAAAGAGAAAACACTCGAAAAATCAGGGTGCCTTCATTTAAAATTTCTGGTAAAACTAGTAGAAGAAATCACCAAATTTGTAAATGTTGTATGTAACTGTATCATTTTCCAAATTTTCTCAAGGATCAGGAAAAACTTAAAGTAGATAAAAACATATCAAATTTGATATATACGTCTGATGCTCCTTAATATTTTAAATGTCACAGTAATGGAACCTCCTTCAGTATTTAAAAGCTTACATTTAAAGTTGAAACTCAAGTATATAAAACAAAAAACAAAGAAAAAAACAATTCAGCATTCTTTAGAGTTCTTACCACAATCATTTCTGAAGGCTCTAATACAAGACAATCACATCCTCTTTTTCCTCCAAACTGCTTACCAAAACTATAAAAAAACAAAAAACAAAAAACAATTTCTTTAGCAAAGATTACAGATAAAATATATCATATAGGAAGAAAAAAACCCAAAATCCTAGATGTTAACCAAGAAATTGTAACCCTATCGCATACGTGAATAAGATTTTCTTAAAAACAAAATCACCTTTCTTCTTGTTTACAGATATAAGTGATCTCAACAAAATTCTCTGTAAAAATTCTTTTGAAGTATCTGCCTTCAACTCGTCTCTAAAGCTAATCATAAAAGATACTTGCCTAATCTCAAGTTTTGATTTTGGTATAATGTTGAATTAAAGTAAAAATACCTAATAAAAAATGAAGCCACCACTATAGAGTACTTTTATGAAAATAAATTATTATAATATTCTGGGAGCAGTAATAAACAAAAGATACTAGCCACATTTAAATACACAAATAAATGTAGTAAGATAAACAGGTGATTTATTTTTCAAAAACAGTGTTGGGAGTCCATGGCTAGTTCTTTCATAAAAACTAAATTGATTTAGTTTTCAAAGAAAATATATTTCTACATTCTTTACCTGGGAGAAAGATTTCTCAGCAAATCAAAAAAGCGAGCACTCATAAAGGAAAAACAATGTTTCTGTTTGAAAAGAGAAACTGATAATTTTAAAAAGTGGGGAGGAGGGAAGAGAATAAAATACTTGTTAATTATCTAAGAGACATAGTATTAACATACCTAATATGCAAACCACACTTAAAGAAAATTATAAAAGCAATCTAAAATATTACATCAATGAAAATTAAGCACCATGGTCAATTATAAAATATCTAAAATATTGCTCCAAAGTAACCAAATTAAAAAGTAACTCCACTAATCATGCAAAATAGAAAATATCAAAAAGTAAACTTAATAAAGAAATACAGAAGTCCTTTATAAAACATTATGCAATTCTATAGACTGGAAACAGAGACTGAATAAAGAAAGTGACCTATCATGTACTTTTATGAAAAATTCAGTATTATAAAAATTTTAATTCTCCACATAAAGTTATATACAAATAATGGTTCATAACAAAATCCTAAGGTGCCTCCTTAGTGCACAGTAGGCATCACGTCAATCTTGCAACAAAATCTTAATATCTAATAAATTACTTCTAAACATAAAACTCACTTTTTTTTCTTAAGCAGAACAGTCTATTTTTTGTTTTTTTCTCCAAAACATCACCTAATCATCTTATGCATAAAATAATTAGAAGTAAATTTGTCAAAGTTTGCTTTTACTGAAGATAGAGAAACAGGGACTAGATTTATTCTCCCACCTGAAAAAAAAACTAAAACATCAGACAAAATATATACAACATCAGTTTCAAGACACTGGAAAACAGAAAGAACAGGGCTGTGATCCCTAGAAGTGAAAATAAAAAAAACTTCATTTACGTATGAGCACTAGATCAAAATTAGGAAATTTCCTTCTCTATGTCTAGTATGCTCAAAATTTTTATCATGACGGGGAGCCTGAGTGGCTCAGTCGGCTGAGTGTCCGACTCTTGATTTTTGGCTCAGGTCACAAGCCCTGCATCGGACTCTGAGCTGATAGTGCAGAGCCTGCTTAGGATTCTCTCTCTCTCACTATGCCCCTCACCCACTGGTACTCTCTTTCTCTCTCCAAATAAATAAATAAACTTAAAAAAAATTATCATGAACAGGTTTTTTTTCAAATTTTTTTTTGTTTACTAAAGGATATGGCTTTTGTCCTTTATTTTACTAACAGAGTATATTGTATTAATTGATTTATGGATAGTAAACCCTCTTGCATTCCCAAAATATATCCACTTACTCAGTTTTTAATACTTTATTAATATATTCCTGGATTTGGTTTGCTGTTATCTTGTTAATGATTTCTGCATGTATGTTCATGAGAGATAACAATGTATAGTTTTCTTGTGACGTCTTCGTCTGGTGTGTCAGGATAATATTGGACTCATAAAATAGGTTGTAAATGCTCCCTCTTCCCCTATTTTCCAGAAGAGTTTGCATAGGATAATTAACAGTGCTTTCTTAAATACCTGAAAACATTTAGCACTAAAGCTCTTTGGGCCTAGGCTTTCCTATGTGGGCATAAGTGTAATGATCAATTTCTTTACTTTTTATAAGTATAATCAAAGTTTCTCTTACACTCTATTTATGGCAATATATGTCTTTGTAAGATTTGCCCAATTTGTTATAAAGTGGCTCATAAAATTTTCTAATATTTTAATTTCTGTAGGACAATAATGTCTCTTCTTTCAAGCCTCATTTTGGTAATTTGTGTTTTCTTTTTAAAATGGTCAGTCTAGGGGCGCCTGGGTGGCGCAGTCGGTTGAGCGTCTGACTTCAGCCAGGTCACGATCTCGCGGTCCGTGAGTTCGAGCCCCGCGTCAGGCTCTGGGCTGATGGCTCAGAGCCTGGAGCCTGTTTCCGATTCTGTGTCTCCCTCTCTCTCTGACCCTCCCCCGTTCATGCTCTGTCTCTCTCTGTCCCAAAAATAAATAAAAACGTTGAAAAAAAAATTTTTTTTAAAAAAATAAAAAAATAAAATGGTCAGTCTATCCCAAAGTTTATCAACTTTGTTGACCTTTTCAGTTCATTGATTTTCTCTATTGTTTTTATTCCAGTGATTGCTACTCAAGCTTTACCTCTTTTTCAAATTTACTTTGCTATTTTTATTCTTAAGATGGAAACTTAACATGACTGAATTGAGACCATTTTTCTTTTCTCATGAAGGTGCTCCAAATTGAGTGCTGTGAATTTCCCTCCAGGATGTTTAAGTGAAACTCAATATTTGACATGTGTTCGTTTTCATTCATTTCAAAACATTTTCTAATTTCCAGTGTCAACTATTCTTTGACCTATGGGTCATTTATAAATATGTTGTTTAAATTCCCACATTTCTTTCTGGAATTGATTTATAATTTAATTCGAACATACTCAGAAAACAAACCCTGAATTATTTCACCCTTTTAAAACTTACTGAGATTTGTTTGATAGCCTAGAATATGCTCTATCCTGGAGAATGATCTACAAGTCTGAAAAAAAAAAAAAAAAAAAAAAAAAAAAAAAAAAAAAAAAAAAAAACCAATGTATCAAAGTGGTAATTGTACCTCTCAAGCTAAATAGCTTTTCTAATTTTTCAATCTAGTGGTTCTACTGATTATAGACAGAGTTCTGAATCTCCAGCTGTAAGAGTTGAATTTCTAATGATCTTTTCAATTCTGTCAGTTTTTACTTCTTTTATTTTAGGGCTCCCATCAGAAAATATATAGATGGTAAAAACCGTTTTATGTTCCTAATATACTCATCCTTTTAGCACTATGAAAATTTGCTCTTAGTCTCTAGTAATATTTTGGATTTTATAATTGATTTTGATTGATATTGATATGACCCCTCCAGTTCTCTTATGAATATAATTTGCCTACTATATTCTTTTCCATCCTTTTACTACAAATGTATTTGTGCTTTGAACCTAAAGCATATAACTGTATCTTGGATTACCAAAGAATCTGTTAATCTGTCCTTTAAGTGGAGTGCCTAGACCACAAGTATGAAATTACTGACATGGTTTTTCTACTTATTTTGTAAATGCCTCATCTTTTTTGTGCCTCTGCTTCTACATTATTGCCATCATTTCTATTAAACAAGTGTTTTCAGTGTACCATTTTAATTCCTGTGATGATTTTTAAATGCTTTTTTGTTGTTAAATTTTTTTTTATTTTTCAAATGTCTATTTATTTTAGAGAGAGACAGAGCACAAGCAGGGGAGGGGCAGAGAGAGAGGGAGACAGAATTGGAAGCAGGCTCCAGGCTCTGAAGTGTCAGCACAGAGCCCAACGTGGGGCTTGAACCCATGAACCGTGAGATCATGACCTGAAATGAAGTCGGCCACTCAACCAACTGAGCCACCCAGGTGCCCCTGCTGTTGTTAAATTCTTAATAGTTAATCTAGGGATTACATTACGCATCATCAACAAGGCAAAGCTGTCCATTCTCACCACTTCCAATCAACAATGTACTGGAGATTAAAGCCAGGGTAGTAACACAAGGAAAAAAATTAAAGGCATAAACAATGGGTACAAAGAAATAAATGTCTTTACCAGAGACAACTCATTCTGAGTGCAGCAAAACTCTAAGGACCTATAAACTTTCTTAGAAAACTTAGAGTGTATCAAGATCACAGGATATAACATCCACATATAAAAACGAATTAGCAATGTTTTTATATACTAGCAATGAATAAAATAAACATGAAATGAAGCAAACAATGCCATCCAGAATAGGATCAAAAAGAAAAATACTTGTAAACAGTTTAACAAAAACATAAGACCTACACACTGAAAAAATGTAAAATATAAGTGAGAGAAATGAAAGATGTAAACGTTAAGTAGAAACAATCCATGTCCATGGATCGGATAATGCTATGTTGTTAAGATTACAAATGTCCCCCAAGTAATCTAAAGATTCAAAATATTTCCAGACTTCCAGTTTCTGTTCTGGCATATAAGAATCTTAGAAATTGCTATCTGTCCTAATAACAAGTAAAAAAATGAACTACCTAGTAAGTCACCCACTTTTTCTTACCTCTGTAATAGAATTGAGATAACTGAGCAAACTGTTGCCCCCAAATTGAAGGGAACAGACAAGTATAGATAATTACAACCCAGAATAGCAATTTCTGCAGGCACTAGCACCAGGATAAGAAAAACCAAACTATATAATTGATGAACTGCTGGAAGCTCAGTGTGGACAACTCTGAGAGTTAAAAACTTCAGAGACACAGTCAACTGAAGGGGCCTCGATACTTTTGAGTTTTACCTCACTGATCTCTACCAGGATCTCAGAATATGTAAGAGAGACCCTTGTACTTCTGGCGGAGGCAAGGGCAGAGGACCATTTTGAAACATCCTACAGTATTCTTGACTTCTTTTCAAGGTCTGCCCATCAGAGCCTAAGTGACCTTTAGAAAGGAAAATACTCAACCTTCCATAAGGAGAA